TTTAAAAACCGTGTTTGATTCCATAGCTAGGGACAGGTTATGGGACAAATTGGGAGCCACATCTATAGATCAGAGGCTCTTATACTTGATTCGGGTCCTGTATTCTAATTCATCTTTCCAAATTAGGTGTAACAAAAATGGGCTTCTTATTAATCCTATCATAACCACAAAAGGTGTAAAACAAGGCTGTGTTTTGGCTCCGTCGCTATTTATTTTTTATATCAATGACATGATCAGTAGCCTAAGCAGTGTTGATTCTCATCCACCTACTCTAGCTGAGCAGAAGATATTTGCCTTACTTTATGCTGATGACACAGTTTTGTTATCCAGAACCCCTGTTGGCCTTAGAAGGACATTGAAGGCATTCAGTCATTATTGTAACGCAAACCACCTAGAGATTAATTCCCAAAAGAGTAAAATCATGTATTTTGGTAAGAGACCTAAAGTTAGGGCTTGGAGCATCAATGGCCATAAAATCGAACAGGTAACGTGTTTTAAATATTTGGGTGTGATGACCCAGTCTTCTGGGGCGAGGAAGGCCCATCACGACTACATGGCCAATATAAGTAAAAAAATCGGTACAGGATATTCTAAGATTCTTCTATAAAAACAGTGGGCAATATATTCCAGCAGCCCTCAGATTATATCAATCCAAAACCGTCTCCCAATTTCTGTATGGGAAGATGTTAAGCCCACCATCTTCATGTTTTGCCCCATTAGAAAGAACTCAATCGAAATGTTAAAGAGCAGATTCCCCAGATGTGCATTGAATGCAAGCCTGTGCCTAGATTCCAATATGATTAGATTAGAGGCTAGGGTAAGCATCACATCTATTAATCTATGGCTTAAGCTAAACCATTTCTCCCAAGACCTTACATCATTAATTCTCTGGGATGGCTTTCGATCCACTTGGTTAAAGGCAGTCTGTCACAAACTGAATATGCTAGGCCTCTCCCCAGAGTTTCTCTTTAAAATGCCCTTAGATCAAGCAAAGGCCCTGGTCAAGCAAAGGATATTGGATACTGAAAGGCAGGGAGACATCAGCAAAGTTTCAAATTTCCTGACATCAAAGAACACTAGATACGTCGTAATTCCAGCAGCCTACTTATCGCTGTTAGAGGTCCCGTCCCACTGCAGGGCTTACTCTATGGCTAGATGGAATATACTCCCCTCCGCAGTAGTGGAGGGACATTATAGGAAGATCCCATTAGCAGAGAGGGTTTGCCTGTGTGGAGCACGGAAGGTCAAAACAAATGAGCCTATCTTGCTTCACTGCCGTTTCTACCAGGAAATCCGTGTGAAGATTACTGCACCCTTGCTTGGGAGGTTTTCTACCTGCTCTGAATCTGAAATTACGAGGAGGTTCCTTTCAGACACAAATCCTCAGCTCACATTCCCCTGTGCCAGATTTCTTGCAGCATCATGCAGAATTCACAGGGAATGTAGCTGAATCATAAAATGTAGATGTTTTCTTCAATCTCTTCTGTGATTTTAAGAATGCATAGGCCACTCAGTAATTATAAATATTGTGTATTTCCTAAAACTTATCAGATTATGTACACTCAGTAATTATAAATATTGTGTATTTCCTAAAACTTATCAGATTTATGTACATTGTTGTAACTGATCTTGTGCTGGTCACGAACCGTAATAATAAATTTGATTTGATTTGACCTTAGTGTTACTGACCAGCTCATGCATGAGTGACAGGGAGACAGAGGGAAAGTCCCTTGTCTCCAGCAATGCAGCTTCCCCCCTGTTCTTTAGCATTTCCGGTATGCAAAGTAGTGTGAGCTAAGCAGTTGTCCTATGGGTGAAGAAGCCTAAGGAAGCCTCAGGTCTGGGATCCAATTATTAACAGTTTATTTTAAGCACAGCCATAGCTATTCTAGGCACACATTTGTGAAGGAAACTGGGGGAGGGACGTACAGAACTACAATTTCTAGCTAATTATAAACTTGCAAATTTTGTGTGTGTGTGTTGTTGTTGTTGTTGTTGTTGTTGTTCCTGATACTTCCCTTCCTAGGCTGGACAAGCATTTCATGATTTGTAGCTGAGAGATTGATAAATGATACTACAAATATGTTGTTTTTGAATTTATCCAAACTAGTTTTCAGTGGCAAGAGTTATGAGGTAATTTACAACATAATCTTCTAAACCTGTTGACTTCACTTGACTAAGAAAGGTGTAACAGTTAGTTTCTGATATTGCAGGCTTATGTTTTAGTAGGTAGGTTACATAAAGACTTCAGATGAATTTTTCACTTTATTGTTATTAACTGGCCCATGTGCTGGAAATCCAAATAAGATTAATTAAATTAATAAACAATCATACATTTTGCATCTGCATGATGAATTTTATAAGAAACTAGCCTGCTACCTGTGCTTCGCTATGGTATTTAAGTTCTGTAAATCCAGTTATAATACTGATGATGTGAAATCTGAAATGTGACATTTGTTGTAGGAATTCAAACAGAGAAGATTGTAGTGTAAGAAATGAGACATACGTACTTTTTCTTTCTCTACTGAACGACCTCTCTGTAGACCACATTGGTGGTTCTGCCCTCAGGGGCTAGGATCACCAGGCTGCTTGATGAGCTGACTCTGGAGCAGGCCACATAGAACTGTCCATTTAAGAAGCACTTGTCTGTTAAGTCAACTCCTGCCACCTTCCACGAAAGTGATGGCCTCTCTACTTATGTTCCTGGATGGTTTTGCTCATATGGAGACTGTGTTGTTCTGAGCGCCTCAGGGTGATCTTGCTGGTACTTGGCCTGTGCAGCTCAGTGCACAGCATGAGTACTATGTGCAAATGTCTTTGCCACATTCCTAAGTTGCCTCCTCCTTGTAGCATTGGTGTATCTGGCTCGACATTTGCCAGGAGCTTTCTTGGGAGTAGTAAGAGGTGAGAGGTGTGAGGGGGAATTGATGTGAGGGAGTGGTGATGTGGTGGACATTTCTTCAGGTTCATGAGGGAGGCATGCATTGAAATGGCTCCTAGAAATGTCCTTTACTATCTCCCCATAAACATTCATACCCTGGCCCTGCTCCTACACCTGACAGACACCAGCCTGTCTAGTGTTGGGGGGGATTGTATTTAAAGGCATAGGGGAGGCTGGGCCAGCAGTAGTGTTAAGGAAATCCTGCTGAGCAAACCTCCCCGGCAGCTGTAAGCATCCTACCTCCTCTCCTACACCTGAGAGGCAGCTGCCTGTCCAGTGTAGGATGGGGAGGGAGGAGGAGTATTAGAAGCCACTGTGGAGGCAGGGCTGGCAAGATCACTAAGGTGTTACTGCTGGGTCAGGCTCCCTCATGGCTTTAAGCACCCTGCAACCACTACTGCACCTGACAGACAACCGCCTGTTAGGTGTAGGAGGTGGGGGGAGTGTGCTGGAAGCCATCCCACCTCCTCTCCTACACCTGAGAGGCAGCTGCCTGCCCAGTGTAGTAGGGGGGAGTATTAGAAGTCACTGTGGAGGGGGGCTACACCTGACAGACAACCACCTGTTACCTGTAAGAGGTGGGGGGAGTGTGTTGGAAGCCATCAGAGAGGTTGGGCCAACAGCTTTGCTTTACCTCACAGGTGGTTCTTGGCCATTCCTGATTTCCTCAACTGTCATTAACTGTCTGCAGTCCCTTGTAACTGTTTGGGTTTTTTACCTCAGAACACTGAGCTTTGCAGCTGACCAATCAGAGAGTGGGGGGTACAGAGAGGCAGCCACCTGGCAGCCCCATAGGAATCAATGGGGGAGCACATTTTCCCTCTTTTGACCCACTTAGGGGTCGAATTTCTAAAAATCCCTTCTTAGTGAGCACCTACACCATGGTAGGAGTGGTCTCCCCGAATTTGGTGTCTCTAGGTCCAGCGGTTTGGCCTGGGCGTTGATTTTACGGTGAGGGGACTTTCTTTTAAATATATAGATAAGAACAGTGTGCTGGACTAAGATCTTACTAAGAATCCTTGCCAGTGCACCTTTTTAAATATTTTATATTTGTATTGATATTTAGGGAGTGAAATTAGTATGGTATAGTCCAGTCTCATCAGATCTCGGAAATCTTGATTTCTCACCAAACGAGATTTGAAGGCAAGATTATGATATGAAGCACAACAGATCTTGGAGACTGATTTTATACACACACGCACACACACACATATCTTAATTAAATGTGATTCTATGCATTTCGTTTAATTACCTATGTATTTCTGTAATATTGGTGTACCCTTAGTCTTTAATCAGCAATACTTAAATTATTTAAATAAATTTACATTCTAAATTTTAATTCATTGCAAAACATATTGTTCAGGGTATGTATTGATGTGTTTACATTATAGTATTTCTTGTGTGTACATCATATCCTTCTTCCATATATCTTAGGATGACATATATGGTTTTCCATGACCTCCTCCACTGAGGTAGGTTAGGCTAAGAAGTAATAATGTACCTAAGAGCACCCAGTGAGGTTTATGCCTGAATGAGGATTTGAATCCTGATCTCACTTGATCCAGCACTCTAACAACTGCATAACACTGCTCCTTATAGTTAAGAACATGTCTTTTCTCTTTTATTTTTATCCATTATAAATGATGAGTATTTTTAAGTGTGAGACCTTCAAGAAGGATTGCTACCTAGCAGAGCATTCCAGTATCTTTCATCTTGAAGAACATCTTGCACTGAACAAAGTCCTTCCTGTTTCACTGCACTCAAGTGTGTAACTTGAAAACCAGTGAATGATGACTGGTCACAGTCAAAGCAAGAACTCAAAAGTAAGATTCCAATTAGGAACTTAAGAAAAAAATAAACTTCAGGGATTTGTAAACATGCAACTCCTTTGTAGATTTTGTTTCCATAATTTTTGAAAATATACTCAGCAAGGTTTTTATGTTATAAATAAAAAACTGAATACCATTTGAATACAATGGGGATTTTTTAGATTTGAATATTTTGTTAAATACACAATTATAATTTAAATATGCACTTTTTTTTTACTTTGTAAATATAGTACATTTACTCCTAAAATGCAAGGCAGACGGATGGGGACTTCAGGGAGAACTATCACAAAGAGCACAAGTGTGAGTGGAGAGGTGTATAAGCTGGAACACAATGATGGAAGTCAATCAGACACTGCAGTTGGTACGGTTGGAACAGGTGGGAAGAAAAGACGATCAAGCCTTAGTGCCAAAGTTGTTGCCATGGTATCTCGAAGAAGCAGAAGCACATCCCAGCTTAGCCAAACAGGTGAGTGACATATGCTCAAAAAGAACATGGCTCTTTATACACCCATATCAGATCAGTGTTTATGTGTGGCTGAGCCAGGAAAACCCATTTCCTCATGGGGATGACTTTGTGCTATCAAGCATGCACAGTCTCTATTTTCACCAGAGATATAAAGTCAACATTGGGATGATCTTCTTTTCCTCTTCCAGTGTGGAAGGATGATTTGAAAGAGGGCTGGTTACAACAACTTTGGGATTTTGATGAACAACACACAACGGTTCTAATGAGTTTCAAAAAACATATATTTTGAAAATAACTAGCGCTGTCTCCTTTCTTTAAACTTAAAAAACCCTGGAAAATGGGCTTAGTGGTTATTAAAAGCACAGCATGATGCTACAATGCATGCTTTTAAAGCTTCTATTCTGTCTTGCTACTTCACAAATCTTAAGAGCTTCATCTCTATAGCCTAGAGAAAAAGCAAAGCCATCACAGGGAGAATGAAGATATATTTTAAGGATCACAGTTCTGTTAAAACCATTGAAGGGCTTGTCTTTCACTGAGAGAGTGAATGTCCTTAAATTACTTAAAAAAAATAAAAACTCGATGCCAAGATACAGCTCAGTCAGATCTTAGGACAGTAGTTCAGTGCCATGATCAAGATAAGCAGAGTCTGAAGGTATGTCAAGTATTTCTGATCTGTGTTATTTTTGTTTGCACTTTTTAAAGTCACTCTTCTTCCCATCCCATCCCACCCAGCATAAGAACTGGAAAATTCAATTTAGCCATCTAAATACTAGCATACAGCTTATACAGCTATGGTTAATAAACAACTCTGCTGGACAAAGATTGCATTTTTGTCAATCAGTAAATTTAATGGGAATAATGTGAAGTTGGTTCTTGCACTATTGGATGTGAAATACATATTTCATTCTCTTTTAAGTATTTAAATTATACTCTTTATGTTTTCTTTATTTGCTTAAAATCTCTTAAACGCTTTTGTGCACTAGCCACATCTTAGAATATCATTTAAATTGTTGTGCTGGTGCTGGTTAGTAACAGAGGTGTTGCAGTCTGTGCAAAAACTAAGTCTCCCTATATATGAGCATATCAGAAATTAAATGCAACCAATGGGATGGGAACCAATATTCTGTTATTCTAAATTAAAGCATTCCCTTTTAGATCTCCAGCAGTGTTCCCTCTAAGCTGAGTTAGTGTGAGCTAGCTCACAGTTTTTTAGTCTCCAGCTCACACATTTTTGTCTTAGCTCAGGAAGGATGGCTCCAGAGCAAACTAGTTTATGCAGAAGCCAAATCCCTCACTCACAATTTTAACACCAGTAGCTCACAATATAGAATTTTTGCTCACAAGACTCCACAGCTTAGAGGGAACATTGCCTCGTTTGAAACATATTAAATCCTATTGATTTCAAGACAATTTAGTTCTGAGTAAAATGCTTGCAGCCTAGTTTTTAAAGCAAGAAGCATCTCTACTGCATTATTTTTACACTACTACTGTCTCCTAGGCTCTTATATAAAGACTGAGGACACATTTATTTATTTAGTTCATCTATATGCTGCCTTTCTCTGCTGTTCTAACTTTTATATAAGAATGTATGTTCAAGTAGTGAGTTCTAGATACTTTTGTTTTTATTATAACATCATAGGTTATGGTGTTGATAAAAATCCATGGTATACTATTGGAAATTAGATAACTTATTCATAGTTTGCCTTTAATGGACTTGGAATGCTTTTTAGTTTTCAGTGTTAATTTTAAAAGGTTGCAGTGATATACTTATTCATCTGGGGGGGAAATTGTATTGAAGTCCATGTTACTCACCTGTAAATAGGTTAGAAATGAGACAAAAGTGAATGAGCATAAGTTTTTCCCTCTAGAAAGAAAATTCAAGAAAGACTTGGTATTCGTTTTAACCTTTGCTGACTCTGCTGTGTGTGACTATTCTTCATTGCATGCTAAAATGCTTCTTGTATATTGTCTTTAAGATCGTTTTCTCAGGTAACAAATTTTGTATATTTCTTTTGATGGAATAAGTGAAAGATTCTCAGAAAACTAGGCAGCTCCAATATTAATTTTTTATAATGTTTGGTATTTTTTCACAAATTTATTTTCAGCCATTGCTGCATAGAAATTTCAGGAGGAAAAGATTTCTTTTCTGCTATACGTTCAGATTATATTGGGCAATATTTCAGTCTTCTTAGACCATTTTTTTGTGTTAAAAATCTGTATCCTTATTGCAGGACAGAACCTTAGTGCCATGTACTTAACAGTTGTGTTACTGTACAGGAAACAAAGGATGTGCTTCCCTTGTTGGTGCCCCTTTCTATACATCCACCTATGGAAATTGTTCAAAGCAGTAGCTTTGTCATGCAGTCTTAGTGTGTATGCTGCCAGACTGGAGAGTTGAGGTCAACATGCTGAAAATGCCTTTTATATCCAATGCAAAAGTTGCCATCTCTGGCAGATCCAGAATATGCCATAGATACAGTTAGCTTTCTTGCATCACAATCTCTTATACTTTATATAAAACTTAGTCAAAGCCAGATCCTCACTCCATAATTATGATTTGTTCCACAGATCCTCACTCCATAGTTTTGATTTGTCATCTCCACCCCATTTAGCTTCTTTACAAAGATCTACTTTGGCCCCGGTCACACGGGCCGGAAAATGCGGGGGGGGGAGGCGTGGCTAATTGCCCTGGAGGAAAATAACGTGCGGCAGCCCAATCAGAAGTCCTTTGGAGGTCCCGTGGGTAGGCGTCAGGTGCAGATCAGACGGCTAGTCCACAGCGCAGCAAAGAAGCAGCACAGCACGTTCAAACCGGCACTCGCGCCACGCGGCTCCTGTGACAAACGCCGCTTCCTGTTTGTGCGCATGCTCCGTTGGGTGCTTGTGCGCATCCTGTGGAGACCTGGGGAAAAAACCCCTTCTTTGCGATGGGACATGGGTGAGCGCCAGATGCCACGGAAGTCCACCGGAAATGCGGTCAGACGCCCACCCTTGCCCCGCGGTTTCCAGAAACTAGTACCTCGTAGGTACTAGTTTTTAACTCTGCACCTTCGGCGGGCAGCCACGGGTTCACCACAGGAGCACTGCGCTTCCCAGATGTTGAGGTGAGATTGCACCCAGAAAATCCACGGGACTCCTGTGCCTCTCCCACAGAAACTTTGCCGTGTGACCGGGGCCCTAGTCTGAGTTTTAGAGGTGGGTAACCTCACATTGATAGAGTTCAACTGCTCCAGCAAGTGATCATTATGCCTGGATTCTTGGAAATCTATATGTGGGTTTCTTCCTTGCCAGCCTATAGCCTGGGAGCCTGCAAAATGCATGTTGGTAGGGAAGCAATGAATAGTCTGTGAGGATTTAAGTTCCAGAATACCGCTACTAAAAGAGCATGCCAAACAACTGTGCTGTTCTGAATGAAAAGTTAATCTAAAATAATGTAGCTAATGTGTGATATGCCAGACATAAATATGTGTGATCTTTCGGGTATGTTGTAGGGCTATCTTTTGGCTATGCTCCTGCAGAGTGCAGGGGGTTGGACTAGATGACCTGCAAGGTCCCTTCCAAATCTAACATTCTATGATTCTATATGAAATTGACTACAAGAGGGAGCAAAATATGTGAGGAACAGTGGGGGAAAGCCCTCAAAGAAACAGGAATTTACCAGCAAGTAAAATGAGAATGCACAAAAGCCCATAGTTAAACCCCACTTAATCATTTGTTTACTTCATTTATACCCTGTCTTTCTCTCCATTAGGGACTCAAAGCAACTTATACAATTTTCTTCTCCTCCATTTCATTCCTACAACAACAATCTTGTCAAGTAGGCAAGGCTGAGATTGTGTGAGTGGCTCAAGGTCACCAGTGAGTTTCCGTGGCAGATTTTTAACCTGGTTCTCCCAGATCTTAGTCTATACCACACTACCTGTCTGTGAAAAGCATTTTCAGAAAGCATTTTCACTTGACTGAACAGATGGATTTGGTTTTTTCTGCTGGAATTTTATGTTTCAGTTTAACTTCACTTTAGGCTTGCTGTTTTGAGATTTCTCTAAAATGTTATACTATCATTGTTTAATTGTTCTACTATTCAGTTGGGTATTGTAGCTATGATGCTACATATGGTTTTGTAAGCCATGTTTATAGGACTTATAAATTTAAAATATATAGTATCTGTAGGCAGTCCTTTTCCGAGGTATATATCCTACTGCTTGGATGCATCCTTAACAACGGAGGCCCAGGTAGCAGCCACTGCTAAGTCAGTCTTTTACCACCTTCAGCTGATTAGGCAGTTGGTTCCCTTCCTCAAACATAGCGACTTGGCAACAGTGATACATTCAATGATCACCTCAAGATTAGACCACTGTAATGCTCACTACATAGGGCTGTCCTTGTCCCAAATTTGGAAGCTGCAGCTAGTGCAGAATGCTGCAGCCAGGCTGCTGCTGGGCCTCCCTATGTGGGAGCACATCCAGCCTGCACTGAAAGTACTGCACTGGCTGCCTATAGCATACCGAATTCACTTCAAGGTGCTGGTTCTCACCTTTAAAGCCCTTCATGGTCTGTGGCCTACATACGTGAGGGACTGCCTTTCTCCACATGTTCCCCAGAGAGCACTGCATTCAGGGTCTCAACATTGTCTAGCCCTCCCTGGTCCCAAAGACACCAGGCTGGCCATGACCAGGGCCAGGGCCTTCTCAGTGGCAGCTCCAGACATTAGGGTCCTATGGGACCTTCTACAGTTCCACAGGACCTGCAAGATGGAGCTCTTCCACCAGGCTTTCAACTAAGGACCTGCCTTATAACCTAATAACTGAATACTAGCTGAGGCCCTGTCCTCTGAAATCACCACTGGCATCCTGTGCCCTGCCAGCACACAGGGACTGAGTTAATAGCTGTAACAGCAATGCTGACTGTATTTCATTATGATTGATCTGTTACAATGCTCCACCATCGCTATGCAATGTTTGATGTTCTACTAGCACTTTATGAATTGGTTTTATAAT